TTGAATATGAGTAGCTAGACCCCATAGCTAGGGTTGTGGCTCAACCCTAGTGTGGGTAATTGATGGGTCGTGTATTTTAGGGCTAAATAACTATGGGTATTTGATATTTGGGTCAATTTCATGGTTAATTGCTGAATTAGTGGTTGCAAATACTAGTTTGTGTTTAGTTGACTAGGGCTCTTCTTGAGAAAGAGAGCCCAAGTCTCTAAAATTGATCCAACAAGGAATTGGGGCGTACTCAAGAGATTGATAGCCCCAATTAAAGGGTTAAACCTCGAGAGAGTAATACCCGCCTTGAACCCTAAGTTGCTTGTGTAAATTTGCATACCCAGTTGGTCTTGAGAAATTCAATTGGGCAAAATCACTTGAACCACCGAGAGGTGTAGAGTGGGTAAAGTAGTGCAATGGTTATATCATACTCCCCAATCATGAAAATTGTGCCTTAGACTCAAGTACCCATCAATTAACCACCTAGGTGGATGTCACTACCCTAGTTCTCTTTTAAACCATTTGAATTACCCTTTTAGCTTATCTCTTAGCTTAATCTAGTTGCAATTATAATCTGTAGTTTGATAAAAGTAGAATTATAAAGAAAACCCTCAAAAATGATTAGAAGTGTAAGTTGGAACACTTGCGTAATCTTAAGCTAAATAGACACTCAATTCCAATTCTAGCTCTCTGTGGATATCGATCCCGACCCAAAATCGGGTAAAAGCTGCTCCGACCCTCTCTCGCTACATAATTAGTAGTGCAGAGTAGGTTGCGATCATGCATCACATCAAAATAGTAAAACGATACGAAATCCGAGGTTTCATACCCTCAGGACTAGATTTACAATTGTTACTTACCTCAAACCGGTCAAATCCCTACTATGTGATGCTCTTACCCCTCGACTCGGTCTCCAATATCTCTAAATCTATTCACAACCAGTACAATACCATCAATATACGCTAATGGAATGAATTTAACAAGAAAAAACTATCAAATTAGGCACAAATCCCGAAATTCTCTCAAACCCGGCCCCAGGCCCACGTCTCAAAATACAACAAAAATCACAAAATTAGAAAGCCCTTTCACTCGCGAGTCCATACATAAAAGATTTATCAAAATCCGACTCCATTTGACCCCTCAAATCTTCAATCAAACTCTCCAAAATCCCAAGCCCTAACCCCCTCATTTTCACCCTTAATCACCACTAATTACATGATTAAACAACGGAAAATTACCATAAATACGAGTATTAGGACTCAAATTACTTACCTCAATGAAAACTCCCTTGAATCCCTTTTCAAATTGCTCCCAAAAGCTCCAAATCCGGATTAAAATGGTGAAGAATGACCCAAAATTCGCGAAGTCCACAATTTATACTTTCTGCCTAGAAATTCTGCATCTGCGGTCCAATAGTCACATCTGCGACACCGCACCTGCGGAAAATCCATCGCAGGTGCGGTTCCCACTTATTCCCTCAGATACTGCTATTGCGGTCCTAACGTCGCACCTGCAGTCTCGCATGTGCGCTCCACTATTCGCACCTGTGGCTCCTACCTCAGCTTTCCAAATTCCACATTGTGGTTCCCTTCTGCATCTGCGATTCTTGCACCTACGGTTCCCTTCCGCATCTGTGATCCTTGCACCTGCGGTTCCCACTCCGCAGGTGCGGAAACATCAAAAGCAGCAGCTTCAGCTACACTATTCCATTTCCAAATCCTCTGTTAACCATCCGAAATCATCCCAAGCCCTTCGGGAACTCAACCAAACATGCCAACACATCTCATAATATCATTCAAATTTAGTCGAACCTTCAAATCGCTCAAAACAACATCAAAACACCAAATCACCTCGGATTCAAGCCTAAGAACTTCTAAACTTCCAAATTCCGCAAACGATGTTGAAACCTACCAAATCACCTCTGAATTACCTAAACTTTTGCACACACGTCACAAATGACACTACGAACCTACTCCAACTTCCGGAATTCCATTCCGACCCCAATATCAAATTTTCCACTACCAACCAAAATCGCCAAATTTTCCAATTTCGTCAATTCAAGTCTAATTCTACCATAGACCTCCAAATTACGTTCCGGACATGCTCCCAAGTCCAAAATAACCTAACGGAGCTAACCGAACCATAAAAATGCTAATACGATGTCGTTTTCTCATAAGTCAACATCCGGTTGACTTTTCCAACTTAAGTTTCTAAATAGGAGACTAAGTGTCTCATTCCACACCGAAACCACTCCGGATCCGAACCAACCAACACGATACGATGAAATATAGTTGAGGAATAAGGTCTCCGTATACACTCTCCTTTCCAGACTCAACTTATGAGATTTTACTGGGTCGTTGTTATAATTATTAAAGCATAAGTCGTATGAGACAAGAGTGTTGCACGTCTACCCGAAATATTTTGTAGCTCCTAAAATATGTCTCAATTATAGCTCCTAGAATATTGGTCATAATTTCTTTTAAAATTTGTTAATATTTTTCAACTATACCTTTAATATATTTTATTTTTTGTAAAAAATTTCAAGGAAACCCGCATTCCCTAACCTTTGGATGAGCATTAGGTACTCCACTCAGTAACCTGTTCATTGTGCAATCGCTCGTAAATAACACAGAAGAAGTAAATCGCACTAGGCAAGTTCGGTGTGGCAAACTCTGACTGAGAGGTTGCTTGTGAGGGAAATCAATCTCAGGTCTCCCATGTGGGAAATCACTCGCCAAACCAACTGAGTCAACCATCTGCGGACCTATACCCTTGATTGGATGGTTGTTACCTATTGTATAGTATCGTATTATTACTTTAAATACAATGTTTGTGTTGATTGTTACTTAAATTTTATTGTATCGTATCATAAATCCATCTTTACGTAACAATGAAAAGTGTCACTTTATGGAATGACATATTTGGTGTGGTGGTATCATTTTCTTACTTTTTTCTCTCATCTTGCCCTTACTCATAATTAGATAATCATATTTTATCCTTTACCCTACTTTTTTTATATAATAATTTTACTTCGTATCCTATGTTTTCTTTGTAACTTTGCAAGTTTATTCTTCATATTGTCGGTGCGTGAGATCATGAAATGACGGCAAATGATACAATCTATTAAAACATTGTATTCATCAAACTATACAATACAATGCAGTACAATTCAATAAGATACATTATGAAACGACGTATAACAACTAGGGGTGTTCGACCATCGGTACGGTATTTAGACATTTTGGTTCGGTATTTTCGGTATTCGGTTTCTTAAAATGATATACCAGTACCATACCTAATTAAATTCGGTATGGTTCGGTTTTTCTCCTTTCGGTTTTGGTTTCCGTTTATTCGGTTCGATAATTTCGGTTTATTTGGTTTGAATACTAACTAGTGCATTGAGTCGTAGACCGTAATATTCTTAATTAAATTACTCAAAAGTACACAACTAAAAATGTTGGTTGACAAAATTTTTGTCCCAAACTAGCAAATATCTAACCCAGAGAGAGAAATTGTATATAAATGAAAAAATTTGATCATTAGAAATGTCTTGTTACTTGCTTAGAGTTAATTGATAAACTTAGATAATAAAGTAAAGTAAAATTTCAAATTTTTATATTTATGTTATAATTAATAATATATGTATTGTGTAATATAATATATTTCGATATTTCATTTTAAAATACCAAATATCATACCTAATACCAATATTTTTTAAAACTTAAACCGAATACTAAAATATCGAATATCAAATACCAAAATTTTCGATTTCGATATAGTAATTCAGTATTTACCAAATTATGCACAGTCGTGGTAACAACTTTTCGAATAAGCTGTTAATTTTAAAGAAGCAATAGTTCTTTTGATAGTGATAACCTAATTAATTTGTTATTTGTTATTTTCTTGATAGACGTGAAAAGAACTAAAATAATAATTAAAATGAAACGGAAAGAGTAAATTATTCTAGGAAGGTTCTTCTATCACCAACTTAAATATGGAAAAGAAATCCATTTTTGACTTTTTTTTTTCTTCTGTTCAAAATGACATAATTACCCTTCTCTTCTCCATTCTATGTCCAGATCCATATATATATATATATATATGTGGATCAAACATGTTAGTTCTTTTGTTTAGAATTCATTAGTCCTAGCAGGAGCTAATAATGTCAGATTAATAAAACAACTAATGAAGCTCAAATATCTTTGTCTTTTTTTCTTTTCTAAGCAATACATAGAAGACGAATTTTACCATATGGTCAAAATGTAACTTTTTGTTCTTAAAATATGGATTCCTTTATTTTTTTCTCAATTTTTCAGTGAAATACATGTCAAAGGGATGGACAAAGTTATATTAACTCTATGATTCACAAAGCTTCCTAAGATGATTAAAAACAACTTCACATGAAACTTATTTTTCTAAAGAAAGAAGTTGACTTGAAACAACAAGAAAAAGTTGTTCTTCCAGATAAGAATCACACATAGATTATAACAATGTGTATAGTGAGGAACAAAATCTGTAAATCAAAACCAAGAAGGATTAAATTTTTTGTAAATTTCAAATAATTGGTAAAAGATTTATATTGGTACCAGTAATACTTTTTTCTTTCTTCTTTATTCATGGTTGAATTAGTCATCTGCTGATTTATCTCTTTCTTTAAATTTGACTAATAGTTAGGTGGTGTGCAATGCAAATCAGTTTTATATATATGTTAACTTCTACTAAGTTATTAATACTTTTGAAGCAGATTTAACTTATAAATCTTACTTTTAGACAAAANATATAATCGGCAAAGGATTAATCACTTGTTAATAAAAAGATGCTTGGTGCAAGGTGCAATGACTACTTTCAACATTAGGCTTGTATTCCTATATCTATTAGCATGTTCTTTTTTTTTTATTTGCACTGTCTTGATTGGAACATTTTGTCAATTTGTTGCAAGTAATGTAGTAGTACTCAATATAGTATCTTTCTTTAGAGTTCATGATATGTCCAGCTATATTTTGTCTGATTAGTGGAGAAGAAAATTCATCCTTTTTGGGGGTAAAGTTGGTGTTTGAGAAGCTCTGCTAATCTGATACATTTTGTTTAGCTAATTGCTTGATTAGCAGTGAATAAACTTTATTCTTTGTTCATGTTTGAGCAGCTATTATTCTGCTAATGTGATACATTTAGGTAGTTTTTGAGTTTGCAACATGCATCAGCATCAGTAAGACCTTACTGATTTGAGTAAGACCTTGCTCCTTTTAGAACGAGTCAAGAAGATTTAATNAATTAATTTTTAATCGTCCTCCTCAGGGTCGAAATCTTTAACCTTTACATCAGCATCCTCTCCATACTGAATGCAGTTGTCAATCTGAGATAAGATGTACTGTATGCTGCAAAACAGCAGAGAACATTGATCTTTGTCAGAGGCTGAAACAATAATTTAATAGTAAGACTAAAAGCACAAAAGGTGCTCTTGTGTGGGTTACGCACACAACAAACACATACACAAGCACAGACAAACAAGCTACCATCCATCTGGTGGTTCAGACGTCTAATGTACTATCGCTTAGGTCAAAAGTTATTAGCATAAGTTTACCAACCAAGCAATCTATAAGAAATGGCTAAATATCTGGAAAACTAAAAAGCACAAATTATCACTGTCGTCATCATCACATTTATATTTGAGATAAGTTACTATGAAAACATCAAGTGTGAGCGGGAAGCAGGGAGTGAAAACATGAGAACCAGGTGCATATTGATGGAAGTGAGACACTGAAACATCATTGCATTATGTTTGCTACCAATAAATCAAGCTGATCAATTCAATCTCGAACAAACGTTGCTTCCATAAAGATCATTTAAATTTACCACAAGGAAGAGTATGTTACCTGCTCTCTTTTCTCAAGTCAAGAGGGAGAAAGCTCACCATGCTGTACTGGTCCACCTGTACACAAGAAAAATATCAGCCATTACAGATAACTTTCTTCTCATATCTTTTCATCTGAAAGTAAAGACTTAAAGTAGGGCAGAATCCGTGGCAGATAATTCATATCCTACAAGCCTGTACAATCTTGTATCTAACTTGGGAGAAAGAACAACCTCTTCAAGTAAAGTTGCCATTACGTTCCAATTACAAAGAGAATAATCGAGAACACAAAACATATGTGATTGTCAATTCAATAACTAATACGCAATTCTTGGAAACATCATAACTATCACAGCTTACCACTTCAATCAGTGATTTGTTAAGCTTCTGAAATTGTGGAGCCATTCGCTTATTCAACTCTGCTAGTAACAGCTGAGGCTCTGGATCCAAGTAACTAAAGGGAAAATATATTTTAATACACTAAAATAACAAAGACAATTAGTGGGAGCATGTGTTGAAAGTGCCAAAGACATGAAACGAATAGTTAGAGGTAGTAGGACTAACTTCTCAACATCCTTTTTGTTTGTCACAAGATCCATTTTTGAGAGAATGTTAACATGGGGTAGTTCAAGTTGAACCATAGCAGAGAGTGAAGCCATGCAACCACTTATGAATTTGGTCACATCTGTGATAAACTGAGATACAAAAAGAACATAAACGCCATGGTTAATAGCAGGGGAAGGAAAAAGAGAAGAAGAAAATCAACTAGTAAAGATCACGCACCTGAGAATCAAGTAAATACACAACACAAACATTAAAATTTTTACGCCTTAGGTGTTCCACAAAGTTCTTCAGCACAGGAACATGTGAAAAAAGTTCAATCTGGCCTGTATAATGATGAAATGTCAGAGTACTCTATATGTGTGCGCGTGCATCTGGGAGTGCATGTGTGCATTTCTTTCTATAAGTACATAAAGATTTACAAGATAAGAATACAGGTCAGTGTAGAAAGTTAGATTATGGGTAGTCATAATAGGAGACAGATGGCCGAGCAACAACATAACAATGTAGAAATCATGTTAGGAAACTTAGAACAATTTTCCAAAGTTAAGGATAAGACGAGTGCAATGGACTAATGTGGAATTGCTGCATCATTTTTATCCTTCAATGACTTGAAGCAAGAAGAAGAGGGAACACCATGTCTACACAACCTTAGGATGGAGAGATGGAGCCCACGGAGTGGAAAAGGAAGGAGTTCTTAGTTTGACGCGAGCCTTTAAGTAATGCATTAAGAAAAAAACAGGATCTTATGTTCTCATTCTGTATCTAAGACTGCTCCATCATTGTCCAACGGAGTAGAAGGGTCTTAATCACATAAGTTGCATCAAAGAGTAAATATATCTGAACATGCAATGTTCATTCTCTTAAAATGTATACAAGGTGGAAGTCATGGACACAAATAATGACATCAAGAATTAGTATCTGAAAATTAATTCAGGTGTTTTGATACAAATGTTTCCAATATAAAAATTAGACAGGTATCTCACAAAATTAGGCAGGTATCTCAAAATTAATTCAGGTTACTTGATACAAATGTGTCCAGTAGAACATTCTGAAATTAGTTAACAAGAAAGAAACAGCTAGCCCTTGATTTCAATCCATGAACAATCTAAGCGGCAAGATTCTGTAAAGACAATTCCAAGGAAAATCACAACTGATAGTCAAGCCCTCGGAGAATCCACCACCTGTATGTCCCTATAGTATTTACTCACATGAAGTTATGTTGGCAGTATTCTAGGTTAATATCTTCGCCTGCTAGCAAAATTCAGTAGTCTACATCGGAGAATTAGTACTGTACTGCTAATATAAGAACAAATAGGAGCGGAAAATGTACAAGTACCTGGGCAGTCAAACACTAGGTAGTCATCATCCAAGTAGTTGTCCAACTCTTCTGTCAGCCACTCATCCAAATTTTCTTCAAGATGTCTGATATAACCATCAAGGGCTTACAATTTTGACAGGACAAAAACAGGATTTTAAAATTTTCATACAAAAGAAACAGAATTCTGAAAATGAAAAGACTCTAAAGGAAGGATACTCCATGCAATACATAAGGCCACCATTTGGTCCGAGACCTAGTTCTTCCATAACATCATCCAGTGAGATGAGTTCTCTGATGTCTGCAACCAATATCATAAAGTTAATTTTAGAATTAAGACATATGAACAGAAAGCTAATTACTTAAAATACTCCATCTCTTCTCACCCATAGCCACTGGATAGTCAAAGTTCTCGGCAGCAGGATCCAAGTTGACAATATGGATAGTGCGCCGCGTGGTCTCACAATGTTGATGCAAACTAGAGCAGTAAGTGGACTGTAAAAGAAATATCAGTCTAGGTGAAACTAGCCATATCAAGGACATCTAGCAGGATTGGACATCCAAATATAAATCAAGGACAAATCCAATATAAAACATTATAGTAACGTGAAGCAATATGATCCAGCTATCACCTTTCCACTGCCTGCAGGGCCAATAACCAACTGTGCGTAGCCCATGATCACTGCCTTTTCTGTTCTTTTTACACGTTGCTCAAATCGAGAGGTCAACTGAGGATAGAGGTTCTGAGAAAATTGAAAATCTGAAAGAAGCCAAGAACTGCAACCAACATGTATGTTGCACACCACACACCAGCCGCAAACAACAAGCTTAATATATCAGCTTGGCCCATAAGCATTATCACGAGAAAAGAAACATCACAATTCAAATTTGAATTGTAAGCCCTTGATGGTTATATCAGACATCTTGAAGAAAATTTGGATGAGTGGCTGACAGAAGAGTTGGACAACTACTTGGATGATGACTACCTAGTGTTTGACTGCCCAGGACAACTACTTGGATGAAGAGTTGGACGGATGAGAAAGAATGATGCACTAATAATTTAATCAGCTTAAACAATTTATATGCAGCAGCTATTCCGAAAATCAAGAAAACAAAAAACTAAAACTCACCTTATACTGTACAATCAAGGCCAATAAACTGTCCAGGAAGAGAGAACACTAAAAGAAACAAGGGAAATTGTAAGCAGCGGCGGAAATTTTGAGCAAGAAACCAAGCGCAAGACTGGGCAAATTACAGATATGTTCGTTTGAGCAGTGTGTAAAGTAGGGTTAACGCGTAATTTATGCCAAAATATTTGTAGTTTTCCAAATATATCCTTGGACGACCCAAGCTCCTCAAACTGTCTTGCTTATTAATAAGGGCAACAGTATGGATCCACACCCAAAACACACAGAAAAAAAAATTCCAAAACTGAGAGAAATGTGCTGCAACTCCTATGGCTTAATTCCGGTCTCTTCACCACCACGCCCCTCTATCTCCCCCTCCTCCCTACACCCCCGTATATATTTCCCAAACTACCCCTCAAATTCCCAAGTTTTGGGAACCAAATTTGGTTCCTTAAAAGCAAAATTGAAGCTTAACGACGTCGTTTCGTATGCTGAGATTGATAATAAGAGCTTTTACGATCTGCTTGGTATATCGGAAACGGGGACTTTATTGGAAATTAAACAAGCGTACAAGCAATTAGCACGAAAGTACAACCCGGATGTTTCACCTCCGGATCGGGTCGAGGAGTATACCCAGAGATTTATTCGGGTTCAGGAAGCTTATGAGATGTTATCGGATCCTAGAATGAGGGATATGTATGATAAAGATATGGCTAAAGGACTTCACTTTGCGTTCTCTGCTCGTAGGCGTTACCAAAGCGATGAAGTTAGTTTACGTAAATCCAATAACTTTTGTTCTGTATTTTGTATAAGAATATTTAGCTCGCAACTTAGTTAGTTGGTTTGGTTATTATTGTACGTTAGTTGGTGTGGTTATTACTGTACATTAGGAACACTTAGTGGGCGTTTGGACATAAGAATGGTAAAATACCAAAAAAAGTGAATTTTTTTTGTGAATTGGTATTTGAAAATTAGAGTTGTGTTTGGACACGAATATAATTTTTGGCTGTTTTTGAATTTTTGTGAGCGATTTGAATGAAAATTTTGAAAAATAACTTTTTGGAATTTTTCAAATTTGCGGAAAATTACAAAATTCATGTTCCAAGGAAAAAATTTGAAATTTTATGGCCAAACACTCATTTCGAAAAAAAGTGATTTTAAAAAAAAATGATAAAATTCTTATGTCCAAACGGAGGATTTGCAGTCGTACACTATTTTTATGCAACATTTTAACCTATACCTACTTTTAAAAAATATTGATTTCCTAACCAACTAACAAAAAATCCGTAATAATATGACAATTATACCCCTTCCAAAACATATAAGAGTCTGTCTCTCCTCCGTATTCCCAGATTCAAATTCCAGATCTCCTCCGTATCTCCTCCATCAGTCTGTCTCTCCTGAGAACGCGTCTCGCATTCAAATTCAAATTTCGAATTCAAATACATTGTAAGTATTCAAATACATTGTAAGAATTCATACTAGTATTTGAATTAAGCAGGAGGGCTGAAGTTTTCCTCTTACACTGGCTTAATTAAAAAATCATATTGCACCAAAAAAACTTCGGCCTAGGTGCTGAACTGTTTTAGTTATTACTTAAAAACTTAAGCAGGGGGGCTGAAGTTTTCCTGCTACATTGGCTAAATTTAAAAATCATATTGCACCAAAAAAACTTCGGCCTAGGTGCTGAAGTTTTTTAGTTATTACTTAAAAATTTAAGCAGGAGGGCTGAAGTTTTCCTGCTACATTGGCTAAATTTAAAAATCATATTGCACCAAAAAAACTTCGGCCTAGGTGCTGAAGTTTTTTAGTTATTACTTAAAAATTTAAGCAGGAGGGCTGAAGTTTTCCTCCTACACTGGCCAAATTAAAAAATCATATTGCACCAAAAAAACTTCGGCTTAGGTGCTGAAGTTTTCCTCCTACACTGGCTAAATTTAAAAATCATATTGCACCAAAAAAAACTTCGGCCTAGGTGCTGAAGATTTTTTCCCCTGCATTGATGAATCACCATCATAAAAAATCTTCAGCTAATATGCTGAAGTTATTAAGCTTATCTCTAAAAACTTTAGCACTTATAAGTTGAAGTTTTCTTTGCAGGATTCATTAATTATGTCATACATCTTTTTTCAAAAAAAACTTCAGCAGAAGATGCCTAAGTGATTTAGTTTATTTGTAAAAATTTCAGCACAAACAACCTAAAAAAATTTTCTGTTCACTTTCCTAATACTTGCCACTAAACATGAATCTGCATGATGAGTTCGATTTGCATTGTTATAACTTTCAATGGGAGTTGGACTCCTGATTTCAAATACTTGGATCATGATACAAAACTTGTTCTACTTAATAAGGACATATCATTCAACACTTTCCTGAAGAAAATTAGTGAAGATACAAATATTGATTCAATCAGATATGCATTAAAAGTATGGTTTGATATCAAACTAAATACAAGCAAAGGAATGCTTGTAACTTCAGATGAAGAAATCAGTACGTGTATACATTTGCTTACAACTGATTCAGCCTACAAGAATTGCCATTTCGTCATCGAAAAAATACAACCTTCAGAATCAGCAGCATTCAACCAATCTCTTGCATATGCGATAGATTCAGAACCTTTTGCTGACTATCAACATGAAGTACGAGTGTCAATAATGGAAGTAGACAACGGGCAACAACCTTCTAACATTACAGCTGCTTCAGCATACATAGTGCTGCAACAATTACCCCCTCCTCCAATAAATTCATACCAGTTTGTCGATGACCAAGAAGAAGAAGGACAACTAATAATGCAAATTGACAACCAACACACAATCCAACAAAGCTTTTTGTTACCTTCTGCAATGATAAGCAACAACGAAGATGAAGTAAACATGGAGCTTATACCGATAACATCAGATAGAATTGAAGAAATTGCTGAAAGTTCTTGTGTTTCTCAGAAATCAAGAAAAAGAGTGAGGAGAAAGCTGAAAGAATCTCCACCATGTAAAATACTTAGGCATGATGCGTTGCCTGAGGAAGTAAGAGTTGGATCAATTTTTGAGAACAAACAAAATAGGAATAAATTTTTCTGCAGCTTGGAGATAAACTAGAAAGTTGAATTCACTGCTGTTAGATCATGTTCAAAGAGATACGAGCTGAAATGCATCGTGGACAAATGTGGTTGGAATGTACGTGCTACCAGAATAAAAAATTCCACAATGTTCAGGGTGATAAAATATCATAACATCCATGAATGCTCGGTTGATGCAAGAAAATCAGATCAGAAGCATGCTACATCAAATTTTATAAGTGAACAAATTATAGAACATGTTCGAGACAAAAAGATAGAGGTTACACCAACCTTTGTAGAAAATGAAATGAAAAAGAAATTTGGAATTGACATTGGTTATCACAAGGCATGGCGTGCTATTCAAAAAGCTGTTGTTTGCATAAGGGGAACACCTGAAGAGAACTACCAGATTCTTCCTTCATACCTACACATGATGGTGGCCAAAAACCCAAGAGCATACACAAGCATATAAAGAGGTGCAGAATAGGTAAGCAAAACAATACTAACCATCAACCTGAAGTTTCAAATGTTACTATTTGAAAAACTTCACACCTTATGATTTGTTTTTTTGTGTTTCAATGTACATATTTGCTTACTTGTTCTTCGCTCCTGCGACATCAGTAGCTGGTTGGTCCTACTCGTTATTGCAGTAGATGCAACGTTTTTAAATTCAAAATATCGTGGTATTCTATTTGTTGTTGTATCAAAGGATGCAAACAATCAAATCTTTCCTCTATGTTTTGGTGTAGCAGATTCAGAAAACAATGAGGCATACATTTGGTTCTTCGGGGAAATGAGAAAAGCAACTCAAGTCCGTCGTGAACCGATTTTCTTGTCAGATAGAAACCAATCGATCGCAAATGGTATTAGAAAACTTTTTCTTGAAGCTCACCATGGTATCTACCTCTATCACTTTGAGAAAAATTTAAAGCAAAGACATGCAAAGGCCACGGTAATAAATCTTTTTTAAAGTGTTGCAAGGTCATACAAACGTGAAGATTTTAATCAGTTAATGTCCCAACTCAAAAGTATTGACAAGAAAACATACAATTACATAATGGAAGAGCCTCCCGAGAGATGGGCTCGATCGTGGCTCCCACGGCGACGTTATGATATGCTAACAACAAATATGATAGAATCAATGAATTCCGTTTTACTAAAAGGGAGAGAAATGCCTATTTTAAGAATGTTAGATTTCATCCAAGAAAAGCTGGGAGAGTGGTTTTATGAACGGAGAAAAAAGACAAATGAAACTTTTCACACAGTATCAATATGGGCAGAAGAAGAGATGAATAAGAAGACGGACTTGGCTTGCAAAATATTTGTGAGTATATTTATTAACTTCAGCTTTTTATATCTGTTGTAGTGATTTACTGCTTACATTTAAAAAATTTCATACTTTTTCTTTTTGAAGCAAAAATACACTAATATAATTTGTCTTAATTTTTTATTCCTTGTTAGGTGTTCAACCTTGACTCAATGTTGTTTAGAATAAATAGTGAAGGAATTGAATTCATTGTGGACTTAAAGAAGAGAACTTGTGACTGCCTGGAATTCCAACTTGATGAATTGCCCTGTCCACATGCAATTGCTGCTATTAATAAGAGATATTTGCAGAAATCTAATTACTACTCAAATTAGTATTCAAGGGAAACATGGTTGAAAACATATGAAGGATATGTGAATACCGTGGGAGATCAAAAATCATGGAAAATACCACAAAATGTACAATCTGAGATCACAAAACCTCCCGATGTAGAGATTTTACAAGGAAGAAGACAAAAGAAGAGGCATATATCTGCGACTGAATCATCAGTACCATTCAAGTCTACCAAATGAAGTCGATGTAAACAAATTAGGCATAACAAAACAACTTGCTTGTCTTCTCCAGCACCTCATCCATATTCCAAGAAACACACTGAAAAATACTCCAAGCTTCAATAATCCTTGGTCTGAATTTAGACTTTCTTTATTGTATGACATAATTCAAATGTGATTTTTTTCATAGGAATAAAAAAAATAAGCTCTTGGACAATTTTATATATTGCTAAAGTACAAATCACTAATTTTTGTTGCGCAGACTTACAAGTTTTGTTGCATTTTAAAAAAGTACGCAATGACTTCTGCGAGAAAAAACTTCAGGTTACAGTATGTGAAATATATATCCTTAAACAAACACACACACACACACACATATGCGTACAACACACAAAAAGAAACGCATGTACAAACAAAAGTTGTAGCATCTCTAAGCAACTAAGAAGTATAAAGCAAATACCAACAAATAACAAGGATAATGCAATAGAAAGCTAAGAACAAAGAGGGTGACAATTACATTGATATAAAAAGAGGTCAGAACAACACACATTTACAAACAAAACTTCAGCTCTCCGGGCTGAAGTTATACAAAATTAACCTAAAAACTTCAGCTCTATGGGCTGAAGTAAACAA